TCAAATACATTCAAACAAAGCTAATAAAATCAAATAAAAGTAAATACATTCGACAAAGCTAATTGAATCAAATGAAAGTCAAACAAATTCAAACAAAGCTAATTGAATCAAATGAAAGTCAAATATATTCTACAAAGCTAATTGAATCAAATGAAAGTCAAACACATTCAAACAAAGCTATTTTAATCAAATGAAAGTCAATACAAAGCTAATGAATCAAAAAGTCAAACACATTCAAACAAAGCTATTTGAATCAAATGAGAGTGAAATATATTCAAACAAAGCTAATTAATCAAATAAAAGTAAAATACATTCTACAAAGCTAATTGAATCAAATGAAAGTCAAACACATTCAAACAAAGCTTTTTAATTTAAATGAAAGTCAAATACATTCTACAAAGCTAATGAATAAAATGAAAGTCAAACACATTCAAACAAAGCTATTTGAATCAAATGAAAGTCAAAACATTCAAAAAGCTATTTGAATTAAATGAAAGTCAAACACATTCAACAAAGCAATCAATTGAAAGTGAAATGCATTCTACAAAGCAAATTGAATCAAATGAAATTCAAACACATTCAAACAAAGTTTGAATCAAATGAAAGTCAAATTCATTGTACAAAGCTAATTAAATAAAATGAAAGTCAAACACATTCAAACAAAGCTATTTGAATCAAATGAAAGTAAACACATTCTACAAAGCTAATTGAATTAAATAAAAGTCAAACACATTCAAACAAAGCTAAATGAATTAAATAAAGTTAAACACATTCAAACAAAGCTAATTGAATCATATGAAAGTCAAACACATTCAAACAAAGCTAATTGAATCAAATAAAAGTCAAACACATTCAATCAAAGCTATTTGAATCAAATGAAGTCAAATACATTCAAACAAAGCTAATTAAATCAAATAAAAGTCAAATACATTCAAACAAAGCAATTAAATCAAATAAAAGTCAAATACATTCTACAAAGCTATTTGAATCAAATGAAAATCAAACACATTCAAACAAAGCTATTTGAATCAAATAAAAATCAAATAAATTCTACAAAGCTATTTGAATCAAATGAAAGTCAAATACATTCTACAAAGCTATTTGAATCAAATGAGTCAAATACATTCAAACAAAGCAAATTAAATCAAATAAAAGTCAAATACATTCTACAAAGCTAATTGAATCAATTGAAAGTCAAACACATTTAAACAAAGCTATTGGAATCAAATAAAAGTCAAATACATTCTACAAAGCTAATTGAATCAAATGAAAGTCAAAAAAACATTCAAACAAAGCTATTTGAATCAAATGAGAGTCATATACATTCTACAAAGCTAATTGAATAATATGAAAGTCAAACACATTCAAACAAAGCCTTTTAAATCAAATGAATGTCAAAAAACATTAAAAAAAAAGCTTTTTAATTTAAATGAAAGTCAAACACATTCAAACAAAGCTATATAAATCAAATGAAAGTGAAATGCATTCTAAAAGCAAATTGAATCAAATAAAATTCAAAGACATTCAAACAAAGCTATTTGAATCAAATGAAAGTCAAATACATTCTACAAAGCTTATTGAATTAAATGAAAGTCAAACACATTCAAACAAAGCTAAATGAATCAAATAAAGTTAAACACATTCAAACAAAGCTAATTGAATCATATGAAAGTCAAACACATTCAAACAAAGCTAATTGAATCAAATGAAAGTCAAACACATTCAATCAAAGCTATTTGAATCAAATGAGAGTCAAATACATTCAAACAAAGCTAATTAAATCAAATAAAAGTCAAATACATTCAAACAAAGCAAATTAAATCAAATAAAAGTCAAATACATTCTACAAAGCTAATTGAATCAAATGAAAATTTAAACACATTTAAACAAAGCTGTTGGAATCAAATAAAAGTCAAATACATTCTACAAAGCTAATTGAATCAAATGAATGTCAAACACATTCAAACAAAGCTATTTGAATCAAATGAGAGTCAAATACATTCAAACAAAGCTAATAAAATCAAATAAAAGTCAAATACATTCGACAAAGCTAATTGAATCAAATGAAAGTCAAACACATTCAAACTGATATGTAAGTGGATTAGGATCGTTTTGGAGTGGGCTAGTTCAATTAGAATCAAGTTCGTCACAAAAGAAAACAAGATAAACACTCAATGTAGAAGCGGGTTCTAAATTGCGTGTGTGGTGGATAAACTTGACCAAACACAAAGTAAGGCTAGATTATCAAGCTTATACTAACTAAACACTAAGTAAAGAAAGTATAAGTTCGTGAAACACAAAGTAACACAAGAAATTCACAAAGAAAATCAGATTTTGTTGTTTTTAATCACTCTTGCCTAAAACGAATGGCAAGTGTTCTATTTATAGGAAGCTTTACAATCCTTAAAGGAACTCTTCAACTTCCTAACTTACATGCCTAAAACAGAAGAAACAAGCTTCAATAAAAGCTTTGTAACTCCTTTTACATGCTTAAAAACAAAACTAAAAGCTAGGCATGATTCAAGCCTAGAATCACGCCTTTACTAGGCCACGAAAATGGCTGTTTATTTGAGGCCTTAATGGCAGCTATTACATGCATTCTTTGACAGAAAAAATAACCCCCTAATCAAAGCTTTAAATGACTAAAACAAACAGCAAACAACTCATAATCATTCCCCACAAAAATCGCCATGAACCAAGCTTGTAACCCCCACTTAAATGTGGCTGTTTAATTGTGGCTGTTTGAAACTCCTTGTGGCTGTTTGAAAGTCTTCTTGGATGCTCCTTTAACTGGTTACTTTGTCCCCTTTGTCCTCTTCCCATTTAAGGCAAGAAACAAAAGGATTCTTGGAAGAGAATCCCACGAAATTAGCATCAAAGACTTGGACTTTTCGTGGATGAACAAAGCATGGACCGTAGCTTGAACTTCTTGGACTTTAGTTTGAACTTGATTGCTTGCTGCCATATCATTCTCCCCCTCTTCGAAAAAGTTTGCCCTCAAACTTTCATCATCTAGATATGGACTCAAGTCTCCCACATTGAAAGTTGCACTTGCTCCACCAAATTCACTAGGTAGATCAATCTTGTAAGCACTTTCCCCAATTTTCTCCAAGACTTGAAAGGGACCATCGGACCTAGGCATGAGCTTGTTTTTCCTTAGGTTAGGAAAACGTTCTTTCCTTAAGTGTAACCAAACCAAGTCACCCTTAGCAAATGTAGGTTGTTTTCGGTTCTTATTTGCACGGTCTTTGTAGACTTTGTTCATAGCCTCAATCTTTCTTTGACTTTGGTGCATGTTTTCTGAAATGCTTCCCATCTCTTCTTAGGTTCACCATGTATCAAGTCTCCTTTAGGCAAAGGAATTAACTCAATAGGTAGTAAAGGATTAATCCCATACACCACTTCAAAAGGACTACGAGTAGTGGTTGATGAAGGGGACCTATTGTAAGCAAATTCGGCATGGGCTAACTTAACATCCCAATCCTTTTGAGTTCTACTCACTAGACTACGTAACAAAGCACCAAGGGTTCTATTAGTCACTTCCGTTTGACCATCCGTTTGTGGATGATGAGAAGTACTAAATAAGAGCTTAGTACCCACCAATTTCCACAAGATTCTCCAAAAATGACTAAGGAACTTAGTGTCCCTATCCGAAACAATGGTCCTTGGAACCCCATGTAAACGAATGATTTCTCTAAAGTATAAATCAGCAACTTTAGAAGCATCATCCGTTTTGTGGCATGGAACAAAATGAGCCATTTTAGAAAAACGGTCCACTACCACCATGATACTATCTTTCCCCCTTTGAGTCCTAGGAAGACCCACAATAAAATCCATGCTCACTCCTTCCCATGGAACATTAGGAACGGGTAATGGAGTGTAAAGACCTTTGTGAAAAGTACTCTTGGATTTTTGACAAGTAGAGCACCTTTCCACAACATGAGTCACGTCCTTCACCATATGAGGCCAATAGAAATGTTCTTGAAGCATCTCCAATGTCTTATGTATGCCGAAATGACCAGCAATCCCTCCCCCATGGATTTCACGAACCAAAAGCTCACGCACACCATTCTTAGGCACAAAGTTTGTTGCCTTTGAACAAAAACCCATCTTGAACCGTATAGTCTTGAGTAGGTTTCTTGAATTTTCCCGAAAAATCCTCATCTTCTTCATAGTGACCTTTCAAGTGTTCAAACCCAAGAATCTTCGTATGCACCATAGCTAAGAGATAGCTTCTTCTTGACAAAGCATCCGCCACCACATTCTTCTTGCCCTCCTTATACCTTGAACTAAATGTAAAAGATTGAAGAAATTCAACCCATTTAGCATGTCGGTAATTAAGTTTCTGTTGGCCATGAATGAATTTTAAGGCTTCATGATCCGAATGTAGAACAAACGGTTTAGGCCTTAAGTAATGTGACCAATGATCAAGAGCTCGAACAATGGCATAGAATTCACGATCATAGTTTGAATAATTAAGCTTAGCACCACTTAATTTTTCACTAAAGTAACAAATTGGTCTTCTTCCTTGTATAAGAACCGCACCAATGCCCACGCCACTTGCATCACACTCAACCTCAAACAACTTATCAAAATCTGGTAATGCAAGAACCGTAGTGTTGCACAACTTTTCCTTGATTTCATCAAAAGCTTTTTGGGCAGCTTCACTCCATTGAAATGCACCTTTCTTCAACAATTCGGTCAAAGGAGCCGTGATGGATGAAAAGTTCTTGATGAAAATTCTGTAAAATGAAGCAAGACCATGAAAACTTCTTACTTCATGCACATCTTTCGGCACCTTCCATGTTGCAATAGCCTTGACTTTCTCGGGATCAACCTGTACACCTTCACTAGATACAACATAGCCTAGGAAAGTAATATGGTTACACATGAAAGCACACTTTTCTAATTTCCCATACAATTTGTTATCCCTCAAAACCCCAAATAAAGATCTTAAGTGAAACAAATGTTCATCTATGGATTTGCTATATACTAGAATATCATCTAAAATATACAACAATGAATTTGTTTAGAAAAGGACGCAATACCTCAGTCATGAGTCTCATAAACGAACTAGGAGCATTGCAAAGACCAAATGGCATGACAAGCCATTCGTACAAGCCTTGCTTAGTCTTGAAAGCTGTTTTCCACTCATCTCCCTCACGAATTCGCATTTGATGATAACCACTTCTCAAATCAATTTTACTGAAAATTTTGGCTCCACTCAACTCATCAAACATGTCTTGAAGCCTTGGCATAGGAAATCTGTATTTGATAGTAATGTTATTGACGGCACGACTATCAATACACATCCTCCAAGTTCCCTCTTTCTTAGGCACCAAAAGAGCAGGAACGGCACATGGACTAAGGCTTTCACGTACATAACCTCTTTCCATAAGTTCTTCTACTTGTCTTTGCAATTCCTTGGCTTGATCGGGGCTACACCTATAGGCTGGTTTGTTAGGCAATTGAGCTCCCGGAATCAAGTCAATAGCATGTTCAATACCTCGCAATGGAGGTAATCCTTGTGGTAAATCACTAGGAAAAACATCAGAAAATTCTTCTAGCAATTCCTTCAAAGACGGTGAGTTAGTAACATAGGAATAGGTATCATCAACAGGTTTAACAACAAGTAAAAACCCTTCCCCTTCCATAGCAAATTCACGCTCAAACTCACTCTTAGAAACCAAATAGTTAGGTTTCTTTTCCACCATAGGTTCAACCTTTGGAGGTAAAGGAAGTAACCTGATTTTCTTTCCCCCATGATTAGTGACCGTATAGACATTAGAAACACCATCATGCAAAGCACTTCGATCAAATTGCCATGGTCTACCAAGCAATATATGACACGCACTCATAGGCAAAACATCACACCAACGTTCATCATGAAAATTTCCAATTGTAAAAGAAACTAGTGCTTGTTTCTTAACTTTCAAACCGGTTTCGTTATCTAACCAATTTAACTTGTAAGGTTTAGCATGCTCACGAGTGGGTAATTTAAGCTTGCTTACAAGTTCAGTAGAGGCCACATCCGTACAAGAACCACCATCTACAATCACATCACAAATCTTGTCCCGTACCTTGCACCTCGTATGGAAAAGATTCTCTCTTTGTTGCACATCCTTGAGAGGCTCGGAATGTAGGATCCTTCTTACAACACCACACAATGGAGTGGCGTTTTCTTCAGCCCCATACTCCTCATATTCCTCTTCCTCTTCCTCATTTTCCTCGGAATCATACCCTCCTTCATGGATGGTGAGTGTGTTCCGTTTTGGACACTCACTAGCAATATGTCCTTTCTCATGGCATTTGTAACACGTCCTCTTGGGGATTTCTTGCTTGGAATCCGTTTTTCCTCCATAACCTTTGGACGAGTTAGGAGTAAAAGTGGATTTAGAAGCAACCTCGCCTTTTCCCATGGAAGAAAAAGCTTTGTAAGGAAGCCTAGATGTAGGTCTTGGCTTATCTTCTTTGTGTTGTGCCTCAACCTTTCTAGCAGCCTTCACAACCTCTTCATAGGTGGAATAAGGTAGGAGATCCACCTTATTAGAGATTGGTTTAGACAACCCTTTAGTGAAACGGGCAATTTTGAGTGGTTCCTTCTCTTGCATATCACACACCAAACTGAGTTTCTCAAACTCTCGCACATAGTCATCAACACTTCGTTCACCTTGAGCTAGGCGAGTCAATTTGACATATTGATCTTGCACATACTCATGTGGAACCCAACGTTGTTCCATCTTCTTCTTGAGTTTCATCCATGACTCAATCTTATCTTTTCCTTCTCTTCTCCTCTTGGCCTTTAGATTATCATACCAAAGCCCAGCAAGCTTGGTTAACTTAAGAACCGCCATTTTACAACTCCTAGCATCATCATACTCCTTATACTCAAAGATACTCTCCATCCTACGTACCCAATCAAAAAAAACTTCCGGATCACTAGAACCATCAAAGTCGGGAAGGTCTAGCTTGACACTTCTATCATCTTGGTGACCACGGAATTGTGATTCACCTTGGGTGGGTGTGGAATTTTCTAATTCCTCTAACCTTCTACCTTGTCTAAGGCATAGGTCCGCAATGGCATCCATCCTTGTTTCATGCTTTTTCATTTCGTCATGCATTTCTTGGAGTTTTCCAAGAATGTCTTTCATCACTTCGTGAGATGGTGAGTTGGATGAACCTGGAGTCATTCTCCAAGGCCTTGCTCTGATACCAACTGATATGTAAGTGGATTAGGATCGTTTTGGAGTGGGCTAGTTCAATTAGAATCAAGTTCGTCACAAAAGAAAACAAGATAAACACTCAATGTAGAAGCGGGTTCTAAATTGCGTGTGTGGTGATAAACTTGACCAAACACAAAGTAAGGCTAGATTATCAAGCTTATACTAACTAAACACTAAGTAAAGAAAGTATAAGTTCGTGAAACACAAAGTAACACAAGAAATTCACAAAGAAAATCAGATTTTGTTGTTTTTAATCACTCTTGCCTAAAACGAATGGCAAGTGTTCTATTTATAGGAAGCTTTACAATCCTTAAAGGAACTCTTCAACTTCCTAACTTACATGCCTAAAACAGAAGAAACAAGCTTCAATAAAAGCTTTGTAACTCCTTTTACATGCTTAAAAACAAAACTAAAAGCTAGGCATGATTCAAGCCTAGAATCACGCCTTTACTAGGCCACGAAAATGGCTGTTTATTTGAGGCCTTAATGGCAGCTATTACATGCATTCTTTGACAGAAAAATAACCCCCTAATCAAAGCTTTAAATGACTAAAACAAACAGCAAACAACTCATAATCATTCCCCACAAAAATCGCCATGAACCAAGCTTGTAACCCCCACTTAAATGTGGCTGTTTAATTGTGGCTGTTTGAAACTCCTTGTGGCTGTTTGAAAGTCTTCTTGGATGCTCCTTTAACTGGTTACTTTGTCCCCTTTGTCCTCTTCCCATTTAAGGCAAGAAACAAAAGGATTTCTTGGAAGAGAATCCCACGAAATTAGCATCCAAAGACTTGGACTTTTCGTGGATGAACAAAGCATGGACCGTAGCTTGAACTTCTTGGACTTTAGTTTGAACTTGATTGCTTGCTGCCATATCACAAACAATGCTAATTGAATCAAATGAAAGTCAAATATATTCTACAAAGCTAATTGAATCAAATGAAAGTCAAACACATTCAAACAAAGCTATTGAATCAAATGAAAGTCAAATACATTCTACAAAGCTAATTGAATCAAATG